AAGTACCACCTCAAGGAAGTGTCAGTGGGCTTGTGGACATCAGGAAGAAGAATGGGGAGGGAAAAACAAGTGCAGAGTCTCCGGGGTGGGAGTCTGCCTGGCCTGCCTGACCCTGCAGGGTGGCCACAGTGATTACAGTCCTCAGATGAAGGGCAGAGCAGAAGGAGGGGAAGGTGAAGAGACAGGCAGGGCTAGACCATGTAGGCTCCAGATGCCACTCTGGGGACTCTGGATTGTGCTCCATGTGATGGAAGCCATGAGCAGTTTGTGCATGAGAGTGAGATGACCTGACATTTTTACATTTTTTTTTTTTAACATTTATTTATTCTTGAGAGAGAGAGAGAGAGGCAGAGCATGAGCAGGGGAGGGGCAGAGCGAGAGAGGGACACAGGATCTAAAGCAGGCTCCAGGCTCAGAGCTGTCAGTACAGAGCTGGACACAGGGCTCGAACCCACAAGCTGTGAGATCATGACCTGAGACAAAGTTGGACACTCAACTGACTGAGCCAGCCAGCTGCCCCATAATTTACCTTTTAATAGAGCATTCTGGCAGCTACAAGAACAGATGCTGGTGGCAGTAGGGAGGTGCAGGGCCATGCAGGGGTCTTGTTGGGGAGTGAAAGGGACAAGGACAAGACTGACCTGAACATACTGGACACAGCTCCGGAGCACCTGGGCTCTGCTTTCACCTCTTAAGATATTCACTCTTTAAACTACCACCTGCTGGGTCACTAGGCTGCTAAGGGCAGCACTTTCGTGCAAATTAGAAGACCCCTGCCCCCTGTGCAGGGGCAGTCCTAGCATAAGTCCTAGCTTGGTGGGTGGAAGGCAACTCCCAGGTAGCCCCCTGGCTGACCACGTGGCCCAGGTTCAGTCCACCCTACAAGGCTTCTTGCGTTCAGATAACAAAGAGAAAATGATGGGGAAAGAAGAACATATTTTCATTGGAGGTAATTGTTTACCTAGATCATTCTTGCATTTTTAAAAATATTTATTTTGAGAGAGAGTGAGCAGGGGAGGGGCAGAGAGAGAGAGACAATCCCAAGCAGGCTCCCTACTCAGCAAGGAGCCCCATGCAGGGCTCGATCTCACAACCACGATATCAGGGCCTGAGCTGAAATCAGGAGCCACTCAACCAACTGAACCACCCAGGTACCCCTCCCTGCATTTTTTGAGTTTTAGATTTCAAGAATAGTTCGACTTCTGGGTGTAAAGCAAACTCATGATGTGTATCACCTTATTACAACTCTTCCAGAAAAGCACAACCTCAGTGATTACAGTTTAGGCTCATTTCTTAGGCAAGAGACTCAGAAGAGACACACACCCTGCATGCCATCTCCTTCCATCTCTCAAGTTAAAGCCTACATACCTGGGATGACAGTTCGTTTTTGTTCTTTTTGTTTTGTTTTTCCTATTTGTGAATAGTATTGAAATAAAAGTAATTTTTTTTAAAAGAGGATATTTGGAGGCAGTTAGAGGTTCTAGGAGTCCTACCCCGGGAGCACGGGCTTTTCCATCACTGGCTGCCCAAGGGGAAGGTTTTGGTTTGGGTCTAGAGTGAACAAGCCGAGGCACTCCCATGAACACCGGCTCCCTCACCCGTGCTCGCAGGGGAGTGAGCTGCCCTTGGGCGGGGAAGCTGCTCTGAGGTCCCCTCAGTCCAGGCAGATGGAGCCCCCCAACCCCCCAGGGGTACAGGACAGACACAGCCACATGCCCGGACTCCCAGGGTGGCCCATGTGACTTCCACCTCTGAGGGAAGAGAGGGGGTTCATCCCATCCAGAGACACCCACATACTGGTCAGCTGTGATGTCCTTATGTCCGTCCGACGTCCACCCACGGTCTACCCTCAGGGACGTCTCCCCAGAATGGAGGAGGAGGCTGACTGGACTCCTACCCCACCACCCGCTGGCCCCAGAGCCTCTCAGGACAGCTTTGGACTCCAGTCACACTATCTATTCCCCTTAACTGAACGAATACTCACTTCACTCAGATTCATTAATAGATCAGAGGCTCCTGAGGTCAGGGCAAAGGGAGCCCTGCTCTTCCTCTGACTTTCCATGCCAGACCCGGCTCACACCCAACAGTGGGACTGAGGACCCTCCTCAACCCCACCTGGTTCCCTGATGGCCTGCATTCTCTGATCACTTCGTGGTGTCCTCTACCAGCTTCCACAGAATTTGTGTCCTTCTTCCAAATCAAAGTTAAAAAGATAGAAATACAGACAAGGGTGGTTCCCACATCAAAAACCTCAACCTATGGCAGGAAGAAGGCTCCCCTGACCTGGGGACTTGGAGGAGTCCACCTATCCCGCGGATCCTCTGTGGGGCCCACAGCATGGGGGGCCGTCACTGACTCGTGTGGACCTGAGGACAGCCGGGACCAGTCCCCACTTCCATGCCAACAGGCTCCCTGTCTGCTGCAGGCTGATCTCTGCAGAGGGTAAACCCGGGTCCGTGGCCAGGTACTTCCGACTCCTCAGGCACTGTGCGTGGCTCTCGGACACAGTCCAAATCCTGTGTCCAGGCTTCCCTGGCTCAGTGGGATCTGGTCCCTGCTGCTCTCTCCTGGCTCCCATCAGCACCTGCTGCCTTCCTTTCTCTGCACAAACACAAATGCCCTTTTCTGTGCCTGGACTATTTCTCTGCATCCTCAGATCCCACCTTCTCGGGAAGTCCTTGCCTATGAGGCCCCCCTCCCTCCACGCCTTCACCTCTCCTGCTGCTAGGCCCATCCCCTCCTGCTGCACCTGCCCCACTCTGGCTGCACCCCCGGGCCTCCCACCCCTCTCCTCCCTCTGCTCCCCCTCCTGCCACGTGCTCTCAAAGCACTTTGCATCTTTCCCGTGGGGTCCTGACCAGCTGTCATTCCATACCCTCTCTTTACTCAGTTCCTGAGTACTTGTGTCCCCACTGGAACATGACCCCCAGCCGGCAGGACCTATGTCTTTCTGTCCGATGTCGCATTGCCAGTGCCCAGTGCAGAGCTCATTCACCCTTTATTATGGGACAGGAAAGCCATGGGTGAGGGTTTGCACCTGGGTGCTCCAGAGACCAAGCCTACCCCCTCCCATTCATCAGCTCTCCTTTCCCAACTTTCATGACAGCAGCCTCTCCTATTCCTCTCCTCTGATGACTTCTCAGGCTCAGACACATTCTTCTTTCCTAACCCACCTTATAAATGGTGAAATTTCCTCTGTGCCCTTACCTGGGTCAGTTCAAGGTTTCAAATGCCACCTTTGTACCCATGGCACTTGCCAGTCCCTACACACCTCACAGGACTGTCCACCGGCATCTCTACTGGAGCATTCCACTCCCATCTCAAGTGAGACCCACCCCACAGTGAACTTGGCTACACCTGCAACAGAGGAGCCCCTTGTCTTCCCTCCTGGGCCCCACTGCACAGACCTTAGAAACATCTTGCCAACATGACTGCAAGTGTCTCTGAAAGGTTCCACATCAGGTTTTCCCTCACTTTAAATCTATCCCCCACAATGCTTCCAAAGTGACCATTCTTATTAAACTCCAATTGGGGTGCCTGGGTGGCTCAGTCAGTTGGGCGTCCGACTTTGGCCCAGGTCATGATCTCACGGTTTGTGGGTTCAAGCCCCACGTCAGGCTCTGTGCTGACAGCTCAGAGCCTGGAGCCTGCTTTGAATTCTGTGTCTTCTCTCTGCCCTTCCCTACTCATGCTCTGTCTCTATCTGTCTCTCAAAAATAAACATTGAAAAAAAATTAAAAAAAATAAACTCCAATTATTACCACCTTGACCCCCTGAACTTAGGAACTAAACTCCTAAAAGCTTCTGCCTGCCTGCCTGCTTACCTTTTAGAGACAAACTAACTGCTGGAACAGAAAAAGAAACATTTGAGGAGGCTGCCTGAGCAGATCACCTAAGCAGATCAATCCACAGTGCCAGAAGTGACCTTGATCTCTCTATGGCGCTAGAATCCCTTTCTCTATATCCATCCCAAGCCCTAATAAAAGCAGCCTTATTTCCCTTGTTCCTGGAGATGTGGCTTTGTAAATTATTTTCCACAATCTCCTTGCTTCTACAAATAAAGCTGACCCTGTGAGACAGTACCACCTGGTGTAGTCTGTCTACACCTCACCAAGTAGTCGGCCCACTTTGGTTCAGTAACAAAATTGCATAAGGACTCCATGAATATATTCTCTGTGAAATATTAAGATTCCACACAAATAAAGCCCTCTTTCATCCTGCCCATTCTTGATCCCCACCCCCGCCCCCATTCTCGATTCCATTCCAAGCGGGACTACTGTTACCAGCTAAGGTGTGTCCCCTAACCTTTCTCTCTGCACTTCCACACATATTATACATACAAACAGCCACGTAATTTTCCTTAAACACAAATGGGGGCACATCACCATCATGCTCTGTGACCTGCCCTGGAGCTCTGGCCACACCAGCGTGCTCTTCTGTCTGACGTGGCGCTCCATGCCAGGGCAAGGGACTTGCCACAGCTTCTTAAGCCATGCCTTTATTGGAAGACCTCTACATTGTTTCAGATTTAGGCCAATTTTTCTAAACCACCAACACCGTATCAATCTCCTGCTTAAAATCCTTTCTTTCCATGGGACAGTCCATCTCCAAGAATCTTGTTGAAGCACATTGTAACATGGCCCCTGCTAGCTTTCTGACACCCTTTCCTTTCTCAGCTCCTTGTCTCACATGCATCCCCTGAGCCTCCATCAGAATGAATTCTTTGCCACTCTTCAAATACACTGTTTGCTGACTGAATACCTGATGTGCCGCCCTCCTCTGAGAACAGGAAAGAATAAGAGGAGATCCCGAGAGATTCACTTGGGAAGTGATTCCTGCAGAATAAGAGGAGGCTCCTGTCTGGGGCCTTAGTGTCCCCTCCCCGCCACTTCTTGAGGACAGAGAAGCTTCCCCAACCAACATCTCCAAGCCCCACCGTCACTTAGTAAACAGACTGCTGCCCAAAGCAGTTCCCGGGCTCCTCCGTCCCAGCCACTCACCTAGAGAGGGGCCTCCAGGACTTTCTTTCTCTACCTTCCAGGGATCTTCTCCTTGCTGCAACAGGGAGATCACTTTTGGTTTGGAAAACAGGAGTCCTGCTCACACACAAACAAAAAGAGAGAGAGAGAAAAAAAAGACTTGGTTTTGTTTTGACTCAAAGAGGCATCATAGACCTGAGCAGAAAACTCAGGGTATGTTACAAAGAGCTTCTGGGGGTGCTCCAGCTGTGCCCCCACAATGTTGAGGGCATAGTGTGGGGAAAGGCAAGGGACCTGTAGGACATGGCTGTGCAATAGTTGTATGTTAGGGAAACATGATAAATCTGCAGCTTTAATAACATTAGCTTTCCATAGAAGAGGGAATATGTTAGATGTACACACTAAGTTAATACTTATAAACATGAGGAAGGCACCTGTTGGGATGAGCACTGGGTATTGTATGGAAACCAATTTGACGATAAATTTCATAACTTTATAAGTATTTCGTAAAAATACTTATAAACAGGTACCTATGGAAAGGATTATGAACAAAGTAGCTTGCTGAAGATGAGGAAACACTGACTCCCTTTCTACGATGGTAGCCGTCAGCAAACTATGGGTCAGAGGCCAAGTCTAGACCACTGTTTATTTATGTATGGCCCTCTGAGCATGGTGGTATATGTTACAGAAACCAAATGTAGTTCACAAAGCCTAAAATATCTTCTAGCTGGCCCTCTGCAGAAAAAGCTTGCTGACCCCTAGGAAAGCCAAGCAAGAAAGGTAAATGGTAGGTCCAATGAACAAAGCCCTCTGTTGAGAGGGGTGAAAACAAACCCCAGAACAATCAGTGAAATGACTCCCAAACTGTGAGGAAACTTCTAATGTGCAATTATAGACCGGAAAGGGGAGGATTATCAATACCACCTCCTTCATTTCCATGTGTGGGGTAATTCCATGCCTATAAGAGGGGAAAATGTGTTTAACATTTATTTATGGTGATCTGACACAAACCTAAGGGTAAAACTCAACTAAAGGTTTTTTTGTTTGTTTTTTGTTTTGTTTTGTTTTTTTTTTTTTTGAGAGCATGAATGGGGTAGGGGGCAGAGAGAGGGACAGAGAATCCCAAGCAGACTCCATGCTGAGTGTGGGCTCCATGCCATGACCTGATGATGAAATCATGATCATGACCTGAATTGAAATCAAGAGTTGGGACGCTCAACTGACTGAGCCACCCAGGTGCCCCTCAACTGAAGTTTCTGATGACCCATGCCTTTTATCCAAGGAAGCAGGTGCTGACTTATCCTAATTTCTGAATTTTTTTTTATCTACAAGAGAAAATTTCCTTACCCAATGAGACCAGGTTACTATAGTTCTCCAGCATCACGTCCTGGTACAAGTTTCTCTGAAAAGGACCCAGCTTTCTCCACTCATCCCGCGTAAAGAGCACAGCCACATCCTCGAATGTCAGTGACACCTGTAATGACAAGCCATCCCAGCTCACCTAGGACCTCCCATCACACAGAGTGAAGAAGGTGGCAGTGGTGGGTAGATGGGCTCCCATGAATGCTTCTGATGTTATTCTGGTTTCTGAAGGTTTCAGGTCATTTGTTTAATGAACAATCGGCCAGTGACAAATATATACTGAAGTGTTCATGAAAGCATGAATTGTTAACCAGGCCCTGTGTTAAACACTGTATGTAAGGAGATGTGGGGAGGAATTAAGGACATTAGTGGGAATGTTAATTAGAATAACATTTCTGATGACAATTTGATAATAGATATTTAAAGACTTAAAATGTGTGGATCTTTTAACTTACCAATTACTGTATTTGCATCACAACGAACAGTGTGCAAAAATGCACCTCCAAGGTGTTTATCATGATGTTACTGATAAAATCACTGCAGGCTTAAGTTAGTGTCTCAAGTTAGTTAACCTATCTTGAAGCCAGAGGACAATAATAATGGACAAATAATAATGGACAATATTGTTTATTGAAAGCTTTCTTTGGACCAAGCTCTTCTTAAGAGATTTGTATTAACTTTTAGTGTAAATACTTATCTTTACAACAACCCTATAAAATAGGTACTATATTGTCCCCATCTTACACAAGAAAAAAAAGAAATTTGTCCAAACCAAACAGCTGGTATAGAGGAAGACTCACTCCCCCTGTGTATCGACTCTCAATACTACAATACTGCTTTACTTCTGACACCAGACATGTGTGTTTTCCACACGCCAAGCAATTGTGTGACACCAGCTAGGTGTCTTACGATTTAATTCCATTCTCATGCCATCTATCTGGAGAGAGAGCCCAATTCCACAGGTTAAGGCTCAATCGCACAAAACTGCCTCAACTTCAGATGCCAATCCCAAGTCCAGATGGTAACCTGTGCTTCTTATCAAGTGGCTATAAATTGCACAGGTTTCCACCACTCCCTTCCTCAGGTTTAATTAACTTGTTCAAGTGGTAAATGCAGGGAAAGTGCCACAATGCAGGAAAACATTTACTTAATAGATTACTGGTTTATTCCAAAATGATATTATTGAGAACAGACCCGGGAAAGAGGTGAAAGGTATGTGGGAAGGGTGTGGAGCTTCCACGCCCTCCCTGGATGCACCACTCTCCCCACCGACAACTGTTCACCAACCCAGAAGCTCTTCGAACCCTGTCCTTCTGGATTCTTATGGCCGCTTCATTACATAGGCACAATGGATCAAATCACTGGCCATTAGATAGGCATAAATGGCCCCGGGCTGGGGTAGAGAGCCTGAAAGATCAAACCCTCTAATCAAGGTTGGTTCCCCTGATTGGATTGGATCCTTAGGGGCTTTTCAAAAGTCACCTCATTCATATCAACTTTGGCTTGGTTGAAATGACTTGTTATGAGTAACAAAACACAGCAATTTCATCTTTATTGCTCTGAAGTTATTTCAAGAATAAAAACCAACTATTATTCATCATTTAGCTTCCAAGCCCTTATAATCTCCTATGTGCCAGGAACAGGAATGAAGACCAAATATATATTTCATACTATGAATCACAATATCACAGCTGGTCAGGGGTAGAGGTAAAACTGCAATTTGGAGGACGTCCAAGGCTCCATTCTTAACCATTCTGCAAAACTGCCTCTCAATGTCTACCTCAAGGGGTTAAGAAATAAGTGGGATAATCTATACAACGGAGATGGATGGTGGTGATAGTCGCACAATAATGTGAATGTACTTAATGCCACTGAATTATACATGCAGAAAGGGCTAAGATGATAATGTCATGTATATTTTATCACAATAAAAAAGCTAAAATGGTGAAACAGATGCATACCTATGTACATAGGTATTCACACAAAAAGTGAATAGAAAAGGATTCTGATGAACATATACCAAAGGGGTGACAGCAACTATCTCTTGATGCTGGGTTAAGAGCGATTTCACTTTCTTCTTTATGTATATATTTTTTATTTTCTGAAATTTAATTATTTTTTTTTAAGTTTATTTATTTTTGAGAGAGAGAGAGTGCAAGTGAGCGTACAAGCAGGAAGGGGCAGAGACAGACAGGGAGACACAAAATCCAAAGCAAGCTCCAGCCTCTGAGCTGTCAGCACAGAGCCCAACGTGGGGCTTGAACTCACAAACTGCAAGATCATGACCTAAGCCGAAGTTGGAGTCTTAACCGACTGAGCCACCCAGGCACGCCTATTCTCTGAAATTTTAAACATGAGCATGCAATACATGTATAATAAGGTAACTTAGAAATAGTTAATACAGATATATAGAAATAATCTTAGCCCTCATAAGAATTTACGATCCAACTGATAGACCAGAAGAAAACCGTGTGCAATGATTTGCTCAATGAAATTGTGTAGCTGGACAGGCCTGTATGCCGTTTCCCAGTTCAATCCTCATTTTAGAGATGAGAACCAGAAGGTCCAGGGCAGTCAAGACCCAGGTCACATACTTTCTTAGTAGCAGAGGCAGGACAATAATTCAAGTCTGCCTTTAACCCAGCACTCGGTATATTCTCTCTCTGCTCTTAAACACCCTGTCACTGACTTTTACACACAAGCCCGTGCAGGTGACAAAAGGGTGGCAGATGAGGTTAGGGAGAATGCCACGAGGATTCACTCACACACAGAGATGGAGAAGATTCTGGCCAAGAGAGCAACATGGCTCCAATGGAATGGAAGAGGAAAGCCTTAGAGAAAAGCAGCCGGAATGTGCAATGGCAGGCCTCGGCCCAAAGATCAGACACTAGCGAGTTTCATGGGTCCGAAACACAATGTCACAGTGAAGGGCGGTGACACGGGGGCTCGGTCTGCCCTGAGTTCTGAGAGAGACACCAGGGGAATGGCTGGACAGCAATGAGCATGAACCCAGAGGCCAGACACACTTGGGTTTGAATTCAGGTCACCGGGCTTCCTTGAGCCTCCATTTCCTCATGTGTAAAATGGGGATGATGGGGCACCTGGGTGGCTCAGTCGGTTAAGCGTCCAACTTCAGCTCAGGTCAGGATCTCGTGGTCTGTGAGTTCGAGCCCCGCGTCAGGCTCTGGGCTGATGGCTCAGAGCCTGGAGCCTGCTTCCGATTCTGTGTCTCCCTCTCTCTCTGCCCCTCCCCCGTTCATGCTGTCTCTCTCTGTCTCAAAAATAAATAAATGTTAAATAAATAAATAAATAAATGAAATAAAATGGGTATGATAATTGCTGCACAGGCAGGAGAGTGAGAACAAAGGCAAAGCCCTCAGGAAGTCCCCCCACGGGACATTAACTGCTACTGTCAGGTGAAGGTGAGTCATAGAAGCACTTGTATCTCCCGGGTCCTGGAAACACTGGATGGCAGTTCCTGTCTGTCAGCACTGATGTTACTACTGCAGTAACATCATCACCTCCTACAGCCGCCACACAGTGACCATCTGCGAGGGCCCGGCCCGATCTAAACACTTTCCATGCACTTGAATTCACGTGATCCTCTCACCTGCCCTATGAGGTAGACATGGTTGTGATCCCCACTTTCCAGGTGTGGAAACAGGCACAGAGAGATGGAGCTATTTGTCCAAGGCCCAGAGACAACAACCAAGGAGATGGGTTCAAATCCGGCAGTCTGGCTTAAAAGCCCCACTTGTCAGCCACTGGATACCCTGCCTCTCCACTACTGATACCCCACGAAATCCTCGCCGCTGCTTCCTGAGGAGTCATCTTTCTGCCCTCGCAGTCAAGAGACCTCTCCAACTGTGTCCCTTCCAACACGGCTATTCCTTGTTCATGCACGGGCCTCCTGGGATGGGGTCCCTCCCCCGTTCCACAACATGAAGATGAAAATGGCAGGTCAAGAACAGTTTTCAAGAGAGTGCAGAAGCAAGGCACATGATCCACAAGGTTAAGAGGGAGAAAAAACACTATAAATGATGGGTTGGAGAAACCTAGGGAAGGTATAATGGGAAACTCAGGAATGGAAAGAAAAAGCCAAGGGTAGGGAGGGAGACCAGAGTGAGCCAAGGAAGCAGGGCCAGAAAGGAACTGCCAAATGTGCACATTTGTTTGTTCTGCCCCCACGTGGCATCTTACCTGTCAAGTTAGTAATCATACACTCAATTGAGATTAATGAATAAAAAGTAGTGTCTGTTAGGAAAAGAAAAGAGAAACATTAGACATGCATTGGCAGGGAGGAGGTTAGCATTCCCTACATAATCCACCATCTAACAAGGTGGGCCAGGAAAAAGGGCTTGAGTTCCAGGTCCTGCAGAAGATTGTACTGAGTAGAGAATTTCAGTTTGAGGATTAAAAAAAAAAAAAAAATCTGTTTCTAAATCTTAGGTAGCAATGAACTCACTTGAGACCTTGCTTCCCTCTGTCCAATAGCCATATCTTCTTTCTGGGCTCTTCCCTTAGGATGGGTGGAGTCTCCAGAAGGCAGATCTGAAAGAAGAAAAAGGGAGCCAGGAGGGAGAAGCCCCTTCTGCTTTCAAACCCCCTAAGAATCACCAAATCTGAAATCCTCATACCACCTGAGAATGACCCCATGTGCCCTCAGAGAGGGAAGTAAGGAGCTGGGAGCAGAAAGGACCAGAGAAGTGCCAGGTCGCTCTGGCTCAGAGAAAAAGGGTGTAGGACTTTATCAGCAGCCGCAGCGACTCACTGAATCTCACCGCATGCCAGGGACTGCCAACACCGGTTTAGTCCCGCAGCACAGCTGCCATTGTCAGCACCCCCATTCTACAGATCAGGAAATCGAGGGTAGAGCGGGAGCACCTTGCCCCAGTTCACCCAGCCAGGGAGGGTGCACCGGGATCTATACCACGCGCCTCCAGAACACCTGCCCCAACCTCGCTGCCTGCATGGGACAACTTTTCTCCACCTCAAACTTTCCCCACCCAACTCCCCTCCTGTCAAGGAATCTTCAGATTTTTGGAGAAAACTGCTTCGGAAAGGGATGACATCAGTTTTCCTATGGCTGCTATCTGGAGAACAGGCACAGAAACCGAAAACCTCAGTGCCCGTCGAGGATCTGCCGTGGGGGGAAGCGGACAACTCACTTCTGGCGGAAAACGCATCTCTGCGCCCGCCGTCCAGAGGGCAGTGCCGCCGGTGAGGGGCGGAAACACAATTCCTCACGTTCGCTGACAGCCGTCAGCCGGTAGCCGGGCAGGTAGCGTGCCGGGAACCGGTTGGGAGGGAGCGGGAGGGGGGCCTGGGCCAGTGGGGACAAGTGCCCGACCTGCCGCGGTCACGGGCACGACCGCGGGACGGCCGGTGCTGGGCGGGCGGGCACATAAGGGGTGCCCGGCCCCTGTCTCGCCTGCAACCACAAAGGCCCCGCTCGCGCCTCCTGGGCCTGTGCCCCGCGCCCTGGCGCCGCATCCTCCCGAGGCCCTGGTCCTCCCTCCCTCCCTCCCTCCCTCCCTCCAGCATTCGGCCGACCCTCGGCCGCTCACCTCGCCCTGGCCTCGGAGGTTCCAGGAACCGCGCCTCCCCGGCCGTGCGCCGCAGGCGGAGGCTCCGACGCTGCCCCAGCGGAAAGCAGCCCGGGTAGGGGACTTGTCCCCGGGCGATACTGGACCGACTTCAAGCCCCGTAGCTGTTAGCTCTGGCAGCAAATACCCAGAGTCCCGCGCAGGTCGGGAGAGGTGGGGAAGGAGGCGGGTTAGCAATGGCCGCAAAGCTTCTGGGGAATGTAGTCCACGCGAGGACTCATGCATTCTGGGAGGTGTAGTTCTCCGCGCTGGTCGGTGAGGCGGGGCCCAGGCGAGCTTGTCACGTGCCCAGTTCTCACTTCCGGGCTTGGGTGACACTCCTTGGGCTGCGAGGCCGTGGCTCTGGGTTCCTGGGGAGAAAACTGAAGTTCGCTGAGAGTGGTGCCTTATGATAGTAAGGCAAGTAGACAACCACGAGAACAAACCTTTTTTCCCTTCGTTGATTCAACCAAAGTTACTGTGTTCCTGGTATGTGCCAAATGCCACTGGAAGTGGTTGGAAATATGTCAGTGAACGAAACAAAGTTAATTGCTCTCAATAACATTTTTGTTTTTTCGTCGGGTGGGGGGCAGGAGGGTGCAGACAGTAAACCATGAATACAATTATATAGCATTTTAGAAGGTAAGTGTTATGGGAAAAAGCGAAAGAGCAGGTTCAGGTATGTATGGAGGCAGTTATAGGAAAGAATAGGGTCACGGGTACCCCCTGTGTTAATATAGCAGGAAATGAAATGTTGATAAGATAGAATTAGTATCCTATGAATTTTTGTTCAAGTGTTTTGGCTATAATCAACTCACATGAATATATGCCAATTTGTAAATAAAAATTCTGAGACAGTGGATTGATTGAATCTATAAATTGGGAAAACTGATGGTTTCACATTATTGATTGTTACAATCCATTACTGTGGTATCATTACCTGTCACAAAAGTTTTGCCCCATTGCAGTGCGTGAGTCAATAGGCCAGCCCAAGTCTCTTGGTTGGAGCAAGTTTTCACCACTTCTAGCAAGTAAGCAGACAGGAGGATAAATCTCAAAGCACTGTCTCCCTTTGGGGTTAGTGCAGGAAGCTTTTTATTCAGTGTGCTAGGGGGCAGGGGCAGAGTGCTTGATACATTAGGGAACTTAACACATATTTTGTTAGGCACTTTTGTTCAATTAGAATACCTACCTTGTCAATAGCTTGTCAACATGCTAGTGCAAATGTTGTATGTTTAAAAAAGGCCCAAGACTCTGCCCACAGGAGTACGTCAATGTGGAAATGTTGGGGTTTGGAGCCAATGGCCAAGAAAGAATTCTTGAGATGTCTTAGGTGCAAAAAGGTATTTTTTTGTTTTATTTAAAAAAATTTTTTTTAAAGATGTTTATTGCATTGTCTGGGTGGCTCAGTTAGTTAAGCATCTGACTTTGGCTCAGGTCATGATCTCACAGTTTGTGAGTTCAAGCCCTGCATCGGGCTCTGTGCTGATGTCTCAGAGCCAGGAGCCTGCTTCAGATTCTGTCTTCCTCCCCCCCTCTGCTCCTCCCCCACTTCTGTTCTCTCTCTGTCTCGCAAAATAAATAAACTTAAAAAATAAAAGTAAGTTTTTTTAAGTTTATTTTCAGAGAGACAGAGACAATGCAAATTAGGGAGGGGCAAAGAGAGAGGGAGAGGGAGACACCCAATATGACAGAGGCTCCAAGCTCTGAGCTCTCCGCACAGAGAGCTCTTCTCTGTGCGGAGAGCTCAGAGCCCAATGTGGGTCTCGAACCCAGGAACCATGAGATTATGACCTGAGCTGAAGTCAGAGGCTCAACCGACTGAGCCACCCATTTGCCCCCAAAAGGTAGTTTTATTAAAGCATGGAATAGAACCTATGGGCAGAAAGCTGCACTGGGGTTGTGACAGGTGACTGATTATATACTTTCAAGTTGGGAGGGGGTCAGGGATAGAGTAAGTCTGTAAGGAATTTTGGAAGCAAGGTTTCCAGGTACTTGTTAGGAAAAGGTAATTTGTTACTGTCTAATAAAACCCCAGTCATGAGACCCTTCAGTTGCATATCAGTGGGCCGTATGCTTGGAGGATGATTGCTAACGTATATTTGGGGGTGGGGATAGATGTGAAGTTTCCAAAGGAATTTTTATGTTAAAGTAGACTTACACGATCCTGGGGGTTCTGGCTAAGATTGCCCTTTGCCCTTGGCAAAGTGGCAACATCCAGGCAGCTGAGCTCCTAGGGGAAAGTCATTCTGCCTGTCCCAAGGACCTGTCAGTGGGCTGTAAGTTGTAAGGAAATTGAGTTTTTTTCTTTTGCCTTTGTTTCCCACATTGGGAGGAGATGATAGTAGTATAACGACCTAAAGGTAACTTTAGGGCAATTTGGGGCTTCTGCACAGTTGCTCAACTCCAAACTGGTTCATGCAACGGAATATCCTGGAACACCTGGCCTTAGGTCTCCTTGGTGGGAGCTACTTGTTCTGCAAAACAGACACATTCTTTCCCTGCCTTTGTCCCTGCATGCTCCTCCTCTGCAGATAGCTCTGAGTCCTCTGATCTGAGGGTCTAATAAATAACTTCACGTCTTTTCTCCATGGCATTATTGCCTATTTTTGAGTTTAATTTTAGATCTTTCCTACTTTTTTTTTTTCCAACGTTTTTTTATTTATTTTTGGGACAGAGAGAAACAGAGCATGAACGGGGGAGGGGCACAGAGAGAGGGAGACACAGCATCGGAAACAGGCTCCAGGCTCCGAGCCATCAGCCCAGAGCCTGACGCGGGGCTGGAACTCACGGACCGCGAGATCGTGACCTGGCTGAAGTCGGACGCTTAACCGACTGCGCCACCCAGGCGCCCCAAGATCTTTCCTACTTTTTAAGCTATTGTAAATGGTATCTCTTTAAAATTTTTATTTGTAAAGTACTGGTTTTGTCTACAGCTGACTGCCTAAAGTCCCTTATAAATTACAATAATGGATTTGTTGTTTGGGGCTTTTAATATAATATTTTAAAACACATGAATGACAGTTTTGCTTCTTTCGTTTATATATTTTCTTTCCTATATTGAGTGGTCTATGATTTCTAGTCAAAGCAGAGGGAAGTTGTCAAAATGAGAGTAAAAGCTCCAAGCCCTCAATCCTCTTTGGAAACATTAAAACAAAAAACAAAAAACAAAACCTGTTAGGAGTGCCTCAGTTAAGTGTCCGACTTCGGCTCAGGTCATGATCTTGCGGTTTGTGAGTTCCAGCCCTGTGTCGGGCTCTGTGCCGATGGCTGGGAGCCTGGAGCCTGCTTCAGATTCTGTCTCCCTTTCTCTCTGACCCTCCCCCAGTCGCACTCTGTTTCTCTCTCAAAAATAAATAAACATTAAAAAAAAAATTTAAAACTTAAAAAAAAACAAAAAACCTTCTAGAAATGAACCAAAATAGCCTTAGAAAGGCTCTGGCAAACAGTAAAAGATCTACGGCGACCAAACACTCAAAGTAAAAACCACATTTGAGACTGTGGGAAGTTTTGTGGCATTTTTACTTGTCCTCTCACCCCTCCCCTTTCCCCAGTGCAGGTCTTGGTCTGGAGAGGAGGCAGTGGAGATCTCCATTCCTTCTCTCCAACAGGGAGAGACCAGAGCAGCCTTTATTTATAAAGTTCTGGCCGGTTTGGGGGCTGCCAGAAGTACTGGGCTCTGTCTTGCCTCACTCCGATCTCCTGTGGGGGGAAGCCGGGAGCATTGCTCATGAAATCTGTAGGTGGACTACAGTCCCACAGATACCTGGGGCAAGAAATGAAGGATACAGGCAAGATACATCATCTAAGGCCCCCAGGAGGGGCTGGGGGTGAGACTCTTGGAAAAATCAAGACATTTAAAACCAGCTGGAAAGCGACATGAGGCCCCACTGAGATGCACGTTCAGAAAAGACCTAAGAGTTTCTAAGTTTTCACCTGTGTCTGATCCCTAGGCTGACAGCAAGCCAGCTAATCCATAAAGAACTGCTATAGCTCAGAATCAGTCTACAAAGACTGGGAGAGGTGACTAGTATTTTGTTTTGCTTTGTTTTAATTAATTATTTTTAATTTTTATTTTAGAGAGAGAGAGCACAAGTGGGGGAGGCAGCAGAGAGAAAGAGAGACAGAGAATCTTAAGCAGGCGCCATGCTCCGTGTGGAGCCCAACATGGAGCTGGATCCCATGACCCTGGGATCATGAGCTGAGCTGAAATCAAGAGTCGGACACTCAACTGACTGAGCCACCCAGCAACCCACCCCCCCCACCTCATTTTTTAATGCAGTTGTTTGTTTTCTTACTCCTGAGTTTTCAGAGTTCTTTGAATATCTTGGATAACAGTCCTTTATCAGATGCTGTATATTCTTTTGCAGATATTTTCTCCTGGTCTGTGACTTGTCTTCTCATTCTCTTGACAGTGTGTTTCACAGAGCAGAGTTTTAAATTTTAATGAAGTCCAGGGGGCACCTGGGTGGCTCAGTCGGTTAAGCATCTAACTGGCTCAGGACATGATCTCACAGTTTGATTGTTCAAGCCCCCTGTTGGGCTCTGTGCTGACAGCGCAGAGCCTGGAGCCTGCTTCAGATTCTGTGTCTCCCTCTCTCTGTGCCCTTCCCCCACTTGTGTTCTGTCCTCTCTCTCTCTCTCTCTCTCTCTCTCTCTCTCAAAAAGAAATAAAAACATTAAAAAAAGAATAAAAAAATAAATTTTAATGAAGTCCAGCTTATCATTTATTTTTTTCATCAATCATGCTTTTGATAATGTATCTAAAAAGTCATCATCATACCCAAGGTCATGTTACTTTTCCCCTATGATATCTTTTATTTTAATTAACTAATCAATTATATATTAAATATTTTATTTTTTTGAGTAATCTCTATGGCCAGTGTGGGCCCTGAACTCACAACCCTGAGATC